TCGAATCAGGAACCGGAGGCTGTGCATGTTCTGACATGGCCTCACCTGGCTGCCCATGGTGTGCTTTGTGAGAGCGCACGGTAGCGACCCACATGCAGCCACGAAGGCCGATTGATGTGTAAGGCCTTCTGAGTTCCAACTTGAGCCCACAGCGTTCGCAGGACGAACGGCCTTTGCAGGAGTGTGCATGTTGTCCGATGTCGCCACTCAGCTTCGATTTAGAAACCCAGCGGCCGCAACTGTGACGAAGGCTGGGGACGTATCGTCTGAAGATATGATCACGATAACCATGGTCATGATCAAGATGTTCGTCATCATCAGTTCATGCTGACTGTCTTTGCTGCTCTATGTGCCAACGCAACAAAGGCCTGAATCAGAACAGTTGACCCAACTGTTGATTGAGTGTTTGGTGTTATGCATGAAAGAGACTTGACATGTGCAGCTTATAACCTGCAGTTCATAACACAGTTGGGCTCCTCAATATGTGGTGCGGATCCCGGCGGTTCTTTCTCAGACTATTGTCCTGCTGTGGTTTCAGGAATAGAACTTCAAGCCGAGTTGTACGCAGTTCGATCTATGGAGCTTTCGCTCTTGTTTGTGCGGTTCCTCGGCGATTAGTGTAGTAAGTTCTATTATTATCATCGTGTGATTCGAGTTTTAAGCATTTAGTCTGAGTCACTGGCAACAACGCTTAGCGAATACATCGAGGGCAAAATCCTCCACCATGGGAGCCTTGTCCGACCCCCGCGACTCTCATGTTCCAGCTTACGCTCTATCCAACGCAACGGCATCCATCCCAGTCCCCCCCCGGCCCATCGCTGGAACGCCCCAGACTTGCCCTTGGCACTACTGCAGCTCCTGCAGCCACGGGCCCAGACCTGCCGCTTCGGCTTCGGGCTTCCAGTTGAATTGGCAGGTTCTGTTCAATGTGTGGGCTGCAAAATCCAGCTGCTATGGTACTTCATGCTGTGCTTCTTGGTCAGATTCGGTCGAGCGGTAGGATGAAGCCGCTGAGGGTTGCCACTTCACGCTAGGAAAGTTCCGAATCATCAACCGCTTTTCGTGAATGAACCAGGAATCCTCGTGCAGGCAGGGCAGACCTCACCGATGTGAGCTTCAATTAGATCAGCGCACCCCTTGCAGCCAGGGATTGCACTGTCTCAGCTCGATCTTTTATGCTCGAAGTTGATGACGCCCGGACCGTTCACTCTCAAATCCCCGGGCGCCCAATAAATTCCCCGAACCTGCAAAACGCAAAACCTGGCAACCGAGATCTCCACCCCAGCAACATGAGCCCTGAAACCCCGAAGTGTAGATCCCAATCCCTGAAACCCTACGAGAACCCCTCCAACATCCGAAGATCCTGAACTCCCAATGGCCCCGAATCCTCACTTGACCCGCTTGCCAAGGCCGGAGTGCCAGCCAAGCTGGAGGGCGCCTGGGCAGATATGTAGGGATTCTCTCGCAGAGGTGATCGAATGGATGTGACCCGAGCATGGTGGCATCGTAGTTCCAACAACACAGCTGTTTTGTTCCTGGGCAAGTGCGGCTCCAGTGCTGCGGCAAGGCATAGTTTGCTTGGATTGTCTTCAGTGCGGCGGTTTCCAATGTCAGAGTCGTTAGCACAACGACTGAGACGATGATGATGATGATGATGACGATGATGATGATTGTGCATGTTATTATTGCAAACATCCAAGTCTTGATAGTACTATGTCGATGGCGCTTGTGCCATAAGGCTAAAGTTCTCGAAAATATGGATATCATGCAAGTTTGCGAGGATTTCTCCAAATTTCAGGAGTCCTTAGAAGCAGTCGTCTTGAAGCGAGTCAAAGAAGAGCAGCGCAACCGAAACACAAGGGCACCTTGGATTATCATATCGGCGCTCTCCCTGTCTGTCTCTCTGTCTCTCTCTCTTGCGCTTCTCCTCTTTCCTTTCGGACCTTGTCTTCCTGTGTCCCGTGTTGCCAGCATCTCAGGATGCTCATCCACTGCTCGGGAGCCTGGACAGAAGGGAAGCACATTCTGGGAGTTTGAGAATTTCAGCATATTAAAGGGACTCTGGTATAGTACAGGCCCTCTTCAGACGTATCCTTGCCATGAGGATCCTTCACTGAGATACCGTCCAGTTTGGTACCCATCACGAAGTGCTGAAATCTGCAACGATTGTGCTGCCCATTATCGCCATTCTCCATGCCGAGGCCTTGAGTGCCCGACGTCCCTCTGCTACGACTGCTTCCCGCCGGACTTCCGCAGGGCCCAGGGGCTCATGGGGCTTTCAGCGGCCAGAGCTTTGGGGGGGGCTCTCAAAACTTGTGGTGATTAGGGAACTTGGTTCCAGCGGAGATTTGAAGTCTCCAGAGTCTGGGCGGAAGTGGCGATGCGCTGCCATCGGGTTGTTTCGGCCGCGCATTCGCATTGCGTCTTGGTGCGCAGGTCTATCCGCCGGACAGGTTCTGGGATGAGATGAAGAAGCGGGGATGGAATGCGACGCCCGGGGCCTTATGCACGTGGGCCGGGGACGAGGGAGTGTCAAGTTCTTTCTCATTCCCGCAGTCAAATCGACGCTACGCACAAACGGTTGAGCTCTTCACGAGTCTCTGGTCGCTTCAGCCTGGCTTGACTCGCCTTGACTGTTGTCTGCTGGCATTGTGGAGCAGACAGCGTGCTCCCCGCACGGCGACCGGAGAGCAGACCCGAAGTCTTGGCAAGAGCATGTCGATAGCAGACCGTTCCCATGGCAAAGAGCCGCCCTAAGCTTCAACGAGGCCTCAACACTCCAAGAGAGCAACTGAGAGCGGAAGACTCCGAGGCCTGCCAAGATGGCTTTCTTCAAGTGCAACAGCTGCCGGACTTTGGAGGAGCAGCAGAAGCGGCTCCAAATGCGCCCCGCGCGAGCTCTTGAAGACTTGGTGCAGGGCAGCAGAGGTTTGGTCTGATTGTGTGTGGGGCTGGAGGGGTCTGCAGCCGGGGTAGTCGGGTAGTCTTGTGGATGCGGCATTCGAAGATGTAAAGAACCAACGTCCCAAGCCAGGCGAGCGGAAGACCTTGCCGTGCAGCAGGACGGCCAACGCACATCACGCGAGATGTAAGTTCGATGGTCTCTTCTGCCCCACCAAACCCTACAACCCCACAGCCCTAAACCCTACTAAAGCCTATCTTCTAGTAGGGCTGGTCTTTGTCTTCGGCCCAACCCTTCTTGCTGCACGTAAAGCTCTCGAAGATGGGATCTGCTCCCTGGGATAACAAACGGAATGCCCAGATGCATCTTTTCAGCGAACGATTCCCACCGCCCATACTTTTTCTTTTCGAGGAAGCAAGATTCCCATCCCATCAGAAATTTTACGAACTTGTTCTTATCCTATGCACCTCCACCTCCCCATCCTGCGAACCACTTGACGGCCCTGCTCTTGTGGATTCGGTTTTGCGAAATCTGCGTGTCGTGCCTCATGTCATTAGGTGCACCTGCATGGCAAAGCGATGTTTCTGCCCGAGCTCGCAGCTCGCATTTCATGTCTCGAATACCAGTCGGCGCCGAAACTACCTTGATCCAACCTCTTGCTTCCCGTTGTTCTGCGGTTCAGGTGCGTTTGTTTGCAACTTCGTCCGAATTGATGGTTTGATGCACAGCCACCCCAGCCCGAGGGACGCATCGTATCGAGGAGTTCGATCAGAACAACAGCAATGGCAGGAGACCGAACCGACAGGTGTTCCTGGGCTCTTCCATGGGTCCATGAAAACTCCTCCCCTTCTCTCGGCGCTTCAAGGCTCTACCTGTTTCACGTCGTCTCGCGTGATCCAAGAAGCCCTCGTCCGACCTTTGGCCTTAAGCGTAACCGCGAAAGCAATGCTGTCACCCAGACAAATCCACGGATCGGCCCCTCCGCTACAGCCACTACAAAGTGGGAAGTCAAAAGGATGGGATGCAAGAGCTTTGCGGGCAACGTGCGTCTTGAAATCCAGGATGCAGAGAAGAGGGCCGCCCTGGAGGAGAAGCGAAACCTGGCCGCTGTGTGCCTTCGGCATGTTCTGTGTGCCTTGTGGTGCCACGGCCGAGGGAAGCAACGTGCAAAGCGCAAGACTGAAAGCCCAATATGGCGTCCGTGCCAGGAAGAAGCGCAAGATGGATGAAGAGGTGCCGGAGCCCTCTGCATGAAGAGCCGAACAGTTTCGGGGGGAGTTGGGGCAATTTGTTCAAGCTTCCCGATGCGGGTTTTGTAGGCTTTTCCGCTCTCGACCTGCAGGCCCAGCGCCGGATGCAAGAGTACAAAGTGCAGCATCAGCAGCCCGGTTCCCGCTTTGCGAAGCGAGGGGGGGTGCATGCTTTTGAGCCGTGCTAGTCGTGAACTGCTCTATTCCGATGCCCACCGGCCGCGGACGCGCCAAGGAAACCCAAAGGATGTTTGTAACAAATCCATGGGTTTGTTTGCAGCAGTTAAGAGCAGAAGCTGTGCACGGGAGAGGATGTTCCGACTGCCGAGGCAGCGAGTGGCCGACGAGATCAGTCACTGGAGGCCGGGGGGGGGGGCCGGGGGAAGGGGTCTCGATGCTCTTTGGAGCCGTGGCGACTTAGGCCACCGATTTCTGCACTGCGGAAGCCCAAGGCCTTGTAGAGGCCCTAGAGGCCGGGCCATGCCGAGAAGATAAACCCGGCTGGGCCAGGGTGCGCTTGGAGCGCACAGCCGAGAAGCTGTGGCCGAAGCAATTCCGTCGAATCTGGCAGGGTGCCCGGGCGTAGATTTTCCGATTTTCTGGATTTAGGGCTGCTCGGGCGAGGGTTCTGCGTGGTCACACCAGTCTCAGCAGCTCTTTCGCAACCTTTTGCGGCTGGGTCGGTCTGCTTGCTTTTCTTGTGTCAATCATGTTTGCTTTGTCCAAGTGCTCGGTGCAGCTAGCGGCAGCTGGTGGAGCCTAACCCTTTCCTTACAAAACCTCTCGCGAGAATCATAAGCACACCGATCAGCACCTCTCAGACGGTAGTCCGAGCACCGGCAGCAGCCATGGAGTGCGGCGTCACGTGGCTTCTGTGGCTCTGCGGCTGGTGGGGCCTGGGGAAATTCGCGTATGGAGAGCCTGCACCCTACGTGCTCTGCCTCAGCTTGGCCTCGCACTTCCGAATCCCGCCTCCGTCCCTTGGCCTCGAGACACCTTTAATATATCCTCTAATTCTAGGGCTGAAGCGCTTTGGGCTTTCAACCGTTGATTGAGACCAGAGGTTCGGGCAAGTCCCCCCCTTGCTGGATGTGCTGATGACCTACCTCGTTGGCCACAGCACGTTTTACGCCTCGACCTCAGCAAACCGGTTGCGTGTGCTGTGGAAGAGCCCCGACGGCATGTGATGGCAGCATCCATTCATTGTGCACCCATCCTTCATCCCGGAACCCAGCCAGGCCTGCTGTTTTTGTGGCGTCTTCTTCTTCACCTCGCACTGGCGACCTTGCTGGCTTCTCTCCTCTGTGCCTCGGGCGAAGCTTGAAGTAACCTCAGCCAAATCGGCCGAGCTAGGTTTCGTCGTCCTTCCCTGCATTCTGCGTTTCGAGGCGTCCTGCGCAGTGCTCACTGCGCGGCGCTGGCGCGCCCTGTCGCAGCTCGAGTGGCCACCGCAGCCGCGGCCACCCCAGCCCTTGCTGACGCTGCTCCACCCCTACCTCTACTTCTTCTTCTCCGAGGTGCACTACGTGAAGCGAACACCTAGACCTACCGACGCTCATGCACGTCTCGCTTTGAGGTGCCGGGGAAGAAGCCGCAGGGTCCGATCCGCCTCGAGCAGATCCGCCCTTCATCGCTCGAAGCGCCAATCGATGTCTGGTGGCCGGGAGTTCCGGCACCGAGGGATGGATACCCTGTGCTGCGGCTCGGCCCCGGGATAGACCTAATGGCTCCTCGTCCGAAACTCCCTCAAGTCGAAGCTTTGGCCCAGCACAGCTTGGCAATGCGCAGGTTCCTGATCCACGGCGGTGCCTGGCGAGGTGGCCACCGGCGGTGCTCGCCACAGGCACCACTCCTCCAGGCGGAGCCCCATCGTCCCGAAAGTCCTTGACCCGGAGCCCCATGAAGACCAGAAGCTCCCCGGCCCATTCCCACAAACAAAATTCCGAGTCGCGCGTGCAGGCCCTAGCAGCTGCAGGATTCTTGATCGTCAGCTGCGAGTACCGCCGGCGGAGGGGTGCACAATGGCCGGTACAGCTCGAGGACGGGGACCGTACTCCTATCCTGCCTATCCTGCATAGCATCTACGGGCTAATCCCAGGGGTTCCTTTCGATTCAAGCATTCGGCGTATCTCTTCTGGCAGGGGTACTCCTGGGACTTACTGTGGGTCGTCTACAAGCGCAGACTGACGGAGGTTCTCAATGCCTTGAAAAAATCTGAGGTTTTAGTGAGCCAACAAGTCCCGCGCCGTGCAGGCTTTCCCGAAGCCCAGCCGAACAAAATTCCGATGAAGAAAGCCACAACGTAAAGCCTATTTTTGTTGGGGGGAATCCTTGTCCGAGGACTGCAAGGCTGCTCTCGACTGGCTCGAAAAGGAAGGAGCCGCATTGGGCGCTGACTTGCCCATCGCCTCAGATTTTCACAGTGCACAGGGCTTTGCTAGCTGCTAGCAGCCGAGCTGCTCGCCGCAGTAGTGATGAAGGTGATCATGGTTGAGATGACGATCATGGTGGTGATGATGAAGATGAAGATGTAGTAGCGATGGTGGTGATGACGGTGATCGTGACGACAAAGATAATGATGACGGTGACAGGCAGGGTGCGGCTGTGGAAACAATGACGACGAAGATGACAATGATGATGAGGAGGATCAGATAAGGATGCAGATAACGCTGAGGTGGGATGATGCTCACAAGTGCCATCATGGTGTTGCTGCGGCTGATGAAGATGAGCTGGAGGAGGTGGAGGAGGAGGAGCAGCAGGAGCAGGACGCCAATCTTGACAGCGATGCGAGCATGACCATGTCTCTGATCGCGATCGTGCTGCTGTATGACGGGTACTAATGGGATGGCGCTGGAGACGTGACAAAGCTGATGGTGCAACTGAGTTTGCTTGTTTTTGTTCTTGCTCTTGCTCGTGTCCTTGTTCTTGCTTGTTCTTGCTTGTGCTTGCTTGCTCAGGTAAGGGGTTGACTTGTGTCTTGTCTTTTTGCGTTAACTGTGTCTTTTTTTGAGCTATCTGTTTGTGTTTTTCTTAGTTATGGTGATGTCTCAGGAAATGGCTTCCTGTTACCAGGTTTCCGCGTTGTCTGTGTTTTTTCTTTTTTTTTGCGTTGTCTGTGTTTTGAAACATTGCACGTGCACGTGTAAACTTTGTATCAGCCCACAAACACCTGGCTTCACAACGTCCTCGAGTCTTATTCCATTGATGCCACGCAGTCGCGAACACAGTACAACAGCCAGACCTCACTGTAGGAATCCTGCTCGAAACGCTCAGATGCGCGGCAGCGAGGGTTGCGATGATTTGCACGGACATTCCTCAGGAAGGCCATAAGGTCGAGCCAGCTTTGGCGCGGCTCCTCGGGGGACTGCACATGATAAACCAGACCATGCCTCGTGTGGCATGCAAGACATCTCCGACAGGGCTGCATGGTGGCCTGTTGGCGCGCACTTGGGGCATGTTGAAGATATGTGATGAACCGGAATCGCCAAATGAAGGGGTCTGTTTAACATCGGTCTAAATATATGTACATATATACATACATACATACATACATGTATACATACACACACAGATATATATCTATATATATATAATATAGTATACATATATATATATAATACATACATATATGTATATATATATAATGCATACATATATATATATATAATACATACATATATATATATAACATACATATATATTATTTTATATTATGTTATATTATATTATATTATATTATATTATATTATATGATATGATATGATATTATATTATATGTTATATGTTATATGTTATATATTATATATTATATATTATATATTATATATTATATATCATATATCATATATTATATATTATATATTATATATTATATATTATATATTATATATTATATATTATATATGATATATGATATATTATATATTTTTCCCTCTCGCATGGCATATATATAAGATTGTGG